TTGATTTAGAAGTGGGTTGCCAAAAGTTGGTGCACACCTTAAGAAGTATGTTAGCCTGGGCAAGGTAAGGCACTTTGTGAGAAGGTAGAGGGCATCGTGGGAGTCCAAGTCCCCAATTCTCTCTTCCATCCTCTTTAGGTCTCTAAACTTTTCGTCAAGGACTGCAGCAATGGCATTGTGGCCCAGAGGTGCTCCGAGTAGTGTGCTGTCGGTAGGTTTAACGACTGAGGCTTCTGGTAGAACTGATTTCACTGCTCTAATGATTACCTCACTGGATGCAATAATTTCGCACTTGGAGGGGTTAAGAACGAGACCCATGGACTCGCCCCGTGTCTTCACCAGCTGTAGGTCTTCTAGCAGGGAATCTTGTGTGCCTGCCAGAGTGCCATCATCCAGGAACCAGATGTTGAGCTCGCTGGACAGTTTGGTTGTAATTTCTCGAACCGCTATGCAAAAGAGGAACGGTGCAAGTGGGTCACCCTGTTGAATTTCCTCTGCTGAGGTAACTTCATGTTTGCCAAACAGGAGGGTTGAGTCTTTGCTGTAGCCTGCTGACACAAACGGGAGAATGCTTGGGCAATGTTCCTGGACTGCAGTGAGGATTGCTTCCCTTTTGACCGAGTTGAAAGCGTTTTTAAAATCTAATTTTACTACTGCCTGGTCTTCAGTAAGAGAGCTAATGTAGGCTCGTGCAGCATGAGCCGCTGCTTCACAGCCTTGGGGGACTCCAAACCCCAGCTGGTTGGGTTGCAGCATGGTGGCTGCTTCCATTCGGATACTTCTGACAGCAGCCCTTGCAACTAGGCGGCGAAGGGTATTACCAACGGCAATGGGTCTGATCCCTCCCCCTTCTTTTTCAGGGCACATAGGGATGCACCAAAGAAGAATGGTTTGATTTCATCAGGGATTAACCCGGCGAGGCAGTTGTTGACAAACGTTGTGATTTCTGTCAGGAGCGCTTCTGCAGCTGGGCCAAGAACAGGGTTCACCATTTCCTTCACATGTTGAGGTCTTACCCCTGTGTAGCCTCCTGAGGAGCCCGGGGGAAATGAAACGATAGCTTTATAAACCTCTGACTCTCGGAGGACGAGAGGTTCCAGGTTAGGGGCGAGCCTGACCTGTGGGGGAGGTTCACCTACGGCCCTGAGGGGGTGTTTTTCTCTCAGTGCTTGGGCTGTGGTTTCATCACTGGGCAAAATTTTGTCCTCACTTGTGATCAACCTGAGTGCCCCGACTGTATTGCCCTCTTCAATTTTCTTGCTGACTTGGGTACCTAATTTTCTGTTGTCGCTGATTGTCGTACTTGGTCTGCCTCGGCGGTGTTTGGTGTGTTTGGGGAGGCGGACTAGGTTGTCAGACCTAGGAAAATCCCTAATTGTTTTATTGACGGATGAGGCCAGTGTCTTGCCTCCTCTGTCTGGTACACCTAAGCATGCATTGCCAAAAAGTAACAGATTGTGCCAGGCTTTGATGGTATCAGGTGCATCAAGGTTATTTGACCCTCTGTTGACTTTTGCGATGAGGTCCGTGTATTTCCCGGCAGCAAATGGGCGAGAGGCCTTTGGGTTGTGGGTGAGTGTCCAGGTTGACGTTGCTTTAGTTGCCTCTAGCAGGTCGTCTGTTGCAATGTAATCTGTTGCGATTTGTACTGGTGCAACAGGCTCCTGAGTGCTGCCTCCTCCCACGGGAGGCCTCCCTGACCCAGGACAGTCACCATGCTGGCGTATGACTCTGGAGACAGAGTTGATGCTGACGTTGCTCCCACAAACACTTGTCGGAAAATCCGACACCATTTAATATCATACAGATAATAGCTGTATTACCAACAAGTTACCCATAGAAAACGTAACTTGTAGTGGAATTACCGTCTATAGAAAACGGGATATCATCACCACATACTATTATAATTCACCACCTATTATGGTGGGAATTATTCTTAAATACATTAGTCTTTGGACTTTACCATCATAAAAACATCTTATATAAATTAACTTAATTATCAATATTAAAGTAGAGTAAATGTGACCCTTCTATCACTTTCTGAAATCTGGACAATGTAAGCCAGGAGTGAGGGAGGAAGGAGGGAGCCATTGTTGTGTCACCTCCGAGACGTGTGGAGCAAATTTAGCTCCTATCATATCTGGACAATGTCGGCCAGTAACGTCAATAGTATGGAGTGTTAAACAGCCATTGTTTATATTGAGACCAGAGGCTCACACGGGAGCAAATTCGGCTCCTGTTAATTTTACTTGGACGTAGTGTTATGGAAACCAAAGGTACCATCTCCAACACGATGTCTACAATTCAAGTTAAGTGTTCTTTCCGAAACCCATGTATCTTTCATTTATGGCCATTAATGTCATTATATAGGGTGATCCGGTTAGAGCACGTGGAAGCCTCAAACTAAAGGTAATTAAGCCAGGTCTTCATGTTCCATGTACAGTTTTCTCTGAAATACTTGTCATATATAGGATTCTGGCTTCACAGCTAGCGCACTTTTGACAGGTCAAGACGAGGAAGCAAGATTTGTGCACCAGTTACTGGGTGATATGGAAGCTACCTCAAAGAGGATAATTTGGTGTCTACACCCTAGTTATACCTGGTGGACTAACCTGCTGTACTATAAGATAAGGAACCTCTTCAATGTATGTAGTTAATTCTGTAGTTTGATTGGCTGCATATATATTAATTTAATAAACCCCCCTAATGTGTAGAGGATCGATTTGTGAGATTATGAGATTATTGCAGAAATACAGTCCACTTATCATTATACAAATTGCTATCGAAGTATATAAATTAACGTAAATATAAATTCATATAAATTAAATAAATATAAATCTCACAGGTCGGTTCCCACAGGGTGGGGGGAGACACTACACTCACTGGGGGGAGACACTACACTCACTGGGGGGGAGGCACCACACTCAGGGGGTGGGGGAGACACTACACTCACTGGGGGGAGACACTACACTCACTGGGGGGGAGGCACTACACTCAGGGGGTGGGGGGAGGCACTACACTCACTGGGGGGAGACACTACACTCACTGGGGGGGAGGCACCACACTCAGGGGGTGGGGGGAGACACTACACTCACTGGGGGGAGGCACTACACTCAGGGGGTGGGGGGAGACACTACACTCACTGGGGGGAGACACTACACTCACTGGGGGGGAGGCACTACACTCAGGGGGTGGGGGGAGACACTACACTCACTGGGGGGGGAGGCACTACACTCAGGGGGTGGGGGGGGAGGGTTGATGTGGCACGTAACACTTGGATAATTTCCTTTTGTCACTAAACACTGGTGAATGTGTCCTGGCTCACTGGGTGTGGTGCTCTCAACACGATACTCACAATGGTCCAGTCATCACAGGACTGGACTCAACTTATCTTTTTCAAGCACTTATTGGCACACTGGTGACCCAGTCTCTTGACCCCACCACATGTGTCCTTCCACCCTTTCCTGGTGAGGGAGCCGTAGGGCGTGTGACGTGTGTGGGCGTGGGCTGACGGTGGGCGTGGGGTGGCGGTGGGCGTAGGGTTGCGTGGGGTGACGGTGGGGTCCTACCACCCCCTTTTTTATGTTGTACACTTTATTATACTTTATTATACATAGTTATACAGTTACATATATGATTGTTTACAAAAAATAAACATTTAGAGGAAGTAAGAGAAAGCTTGTATCCTAGAGGGTGTAAATTTCTTCAAACTCCTCCGACGCCGGGCAGGAACCGAGGACACAGCGGGCATTCCCACTCTGGATCGCGACATGTAGGTGCTGGAAGAGAAAACTTGCCACCCTAGGGTCTCTTGTAGTGTCAACGAGCCTGGAATCAAGGTCCCTAAGAAATCTTCTTGCACTCTCTCCCCATTCGACTTGGGTTTCAGATCGTATTGGAACGAAGGTCCAGTCTCTGTGGTGTAGTGGTAAGACATTCGTCTGGCGTTCCGCGAGCGCTTTGTCATGGGTTCGTATCCTGCCCGGGGAGGATTTACTGGGCTCAAATCCTTAACTGTAGGTTCTGTTTAACTCAACAGTAAAATGGGTACTTGGTTGTAAAAACGATTCTTCGCGGCGGGGATCGTATTCCAGGGACTTGTCCGAAACGCTACACATACTAGTGGTTATACAAGAATGTAACAACTCTTGCATATAACTCAAAAAAACAAAAAAAATTGTACCGATGATCTAATTCTTTGTACTTGGCTGATATGTATCTGCCTCTGTGTGTCGCCGCGCCTCCTGCTTGGCCGGCAGAGAGGTTGGTGTATGTGGTTGCCAGGGTGGATACACAAGTATCGTCCCACGCCAACTGTCTGCCACACAGATAATAGAGTAACATCACTAAGAAAATAAATAATGTTAGAGATAAATTACAATACTTTTAGCAAATACTTAGTCTTCCAGTGTCGTCGGGCCAGGTGCTTATGTAACATATATTACATATAATTAATAGTTCTTACTCTCTCTTCTATATCTTCATATTTCTATCCAACTGTAATATATTATCACTTTTTTCCTAAAATTGAAAGTAACTTTAATAAATATTTTAGCAGTTTGAGGGCTAATATTTCCAGAAAAAATTATGTATTCCCCCGTTTCTGAAATAATTTCCATTGCTTTTCATACATATTCAAAGATACGGCTGCTTTATTCTGATTAAATCTAAAAAAACGGTGTATATATATATATATATATATATATATATATCTATTTTATATCAACAGAAAATTGAGTGTCAATGTGTGATGACATGCTAAATAAATATCATATTAAATGCCCAAATGTTAAATATATTTGGATTTAATTAAATAAAAAAAAGTCTTGACATTTAAATTGAAACATTGTGCATCAGTAGTAGTAGTAGTAGTAGTAGTAGTAGTAGTAGTAGTAGTAGTAGTAGGCATCCTTCAGTCTAAGACTATGGAGTTGCGCCCTGACAGGGCGCAAAGCCTGGGTAGGTAGATATGGAGGAGAATGCAGTGCATTAGTCTGCAGTAAATAACCGACATGTGCAGGTGAAGGACCAGCTGGCGGCGCCTTGGGGAGTGGCAGTGTTCGAGGTGTCAGCGGAGGGTCACGACGATAACGTGACGCTGACGGAGCTCTCCCGGGTGGTCGGCGAGGCTCGGCGGGTAGGTCACTCTCACATTACTGCTGATGCTGGTAGGTCACTCTCACCTTACTGCTGGTGCTGGTAGGTCAGTCTTGCATTACTGCTGATGCTGGTAGGTCACTCTCACATTACTGATGATGCTGGTAGGTCACTCTCACATTACTGCTGATGCTGGTAGGTCACTCTCACATTACTGATGGTGCTGGTAGGTCACTCTCACCTTACTGCTGGTGCTGGTAGGTCACTCTCACCTTACTGCTGGTGCTGGTAGGTCAGTCTTGCATTACTGCTGATGCTGGTAGGTCACTCTCACATTACTGATGATGCTGGTAGGTCACTCTCACATTACTGCTGATGCTGGTAGGTCACTCTCACATTACTGATGGTGCTGGTAGGTCACTCTCACATTACTGATGATGCGGGTAGGTCACTCTCACATTACTGCTGATGCTGGTAGGTCACTCTCACATTACTGCTGGTGCTGGTAGGTCACTCTCACATTACTGCTGGTGCTGGTAGGTCACTCTCACCTTACTGCTGGTGCTGGTAGGTCACTCTCATATTACTGCTGATGCTGGTAGGTCACTCTCACATTACTGCTGATGCTGGTAGGTCACTCTCACATTACTGCTGATGCTGGTAGGTTACTCACATTACTGCTGATGCTGGTAGGTTACTCACATTACTGCTGATGGTGGTAGGTCACTCTCACATTACTGCTGATGCTGGTAGGTCACTCACATTACTGTTGATGCTTGTAGGTCACTCTCACATTACTGCTGATGCTGGTAGGTCACTCACATTACTGCTGATGCTGGTAGGTCACTCTCACATTACTGCTGATGCTGGTAGGTCACTCACATTACTACTGATGCTGGTAGGTCACTCTCACATTACTGCTGATGCTGGTATGTCACTCTCACATTACTGCTGATGCTGGTAGGTCACTCTCACATTACTGCTGATGCTGGTAGGTCACTCTCACATTACTGCTGATGCTGGTAGGTCACTCTCACATTACTGCTGACGCTGGTAGGTCACTCTCACATTACTGCTGATGCTGGTAGGTCACTCTCACATTACTGCTGATGCTGGTAGGTCACTCTCACATTACTGCTGATGCTGGTAGGTCACTCACATTACTACTGATGCTGGTAGGTCACTCTCACATTACTGCTGATGCTGGTATGTCACTCTCACATTACTGCTGATGCTGGTAGGTCACTCTCACATTACTGCTGATGCTGGTAGGTCACTCTCACATTACTGCTGATGCTGGTAGGTCACTCTCACATTACTGCTGATGCTGGTAGGTCACTCTCACATTACTGCTGATGCTGGTAGGTCACTCTCACATTACTGCTGATGCTGGTAGGTCACTCTCACATTACTGCTGACCCTTGTAGGACACTCTCACATTACTGCTGATGCTGGTAGGTCACTCTCACATTACTGCTGACGCTGGTAGGTCACTCTCACATTACTGCTGATGCTGGTAGGTCACTCTCACATTACTGCTGACCCTTGTAGGACACTCTCACATTACTGCTGGTGCTGGTAGGTCACTCTCACATTACTGCTGACCCTTGTAGGACACTCTCACATTACTGCTACTGCGGGTAGGTCACTCTCGCATCAATATTGAGGCGGGTAGGTCACTCTCACATCACTACTGAGGCGGGAAGGTCTCTCTCACATCACTACTGAGGCGGGTAGCTCACTCTCACATCACTACTGAGGCGGGTAGCTCACTCTCACATCACTACTGAGGCGGGAAGGTCTCTCTCACATCACTACTGAGGCGGGTAGGTCACTCTCACATCACTACTGAGGCGGGTAGGTCACTCTCACATCACTACTGAGGCGGGAAGGTCACTCTCACATCACTACTGAGGCGGGTAGGTCACTCTCACATCACTACTGAGGCGGGTAGGTCACTCTCACATCACTACTGAGGCGGGTAGGTCACTCTCACATAACGTCTACCATGTTGACGTCAACAGGTGCGGCAGGTGTCATGGTGCGTGACGGTGGTGGTGGTGAGCGACGACCTCGCCTTCCTCACCGCCTTCGCCCAGTTGTCCCTCAAGGGCCGCCTCCTGGTGTGGTCGACGAGGCTCCTGGTCGTCACCCGCCTCCCGCTCCACCACCTGCAGGTCCTCCACACACTCCTGTCTAGCAGGAACGCCATCTTGGTCCACCTTAATGATACTACAACCCGTTTTAAGTAATTATTAGTAAAAAAATATACAAACTTTCGAATAAAAAAAAGTTCTATTTGCATTATAATTTATTCTATGAATTCAGATTTAAATTTTAATGAAAGTTGCATGTATGTAGTAAATTGTTTGTGCTAAGGATATACTATGCAGCAGGATTCAGATTTCAGCAAATGCAAATATTGTTAATTATGAGTACTTGTTCTTTCCTAACCAAAGAGGAGCCGTGGATTTAAACTGTTAATAAAAGTACAGCGTGGTCTTTCCACACTTTTCATTTCCATAAATTTATTTGCAAAAGATAAATTGCTAAATTCCCTGAATGAAAGATCTATCTTCCTACCTTCGAAACAAAAAGTCTTGAAAATTACAAAAGAATTTGTAGGATAAAATTACCTGACCTTATTAACTTCCGATGCGCACAATATACCCATCTGTCTCTCAGGAACATTTGAGAGATGTTGGGCATACAGTGACTGTGTACACATAATGTACATGCCTCTCTATGCATGGCTTTGTGGTGGAAAGAGAAAGAGAACCCGGACACAGAGCTGTGAACGTAAACGTTAAGAAAAGGAAGGAGGGAATTAGATTCCCATTCAACTTTGAAATGGATAGGAGCCAGATTGTTAAGAGAGGAAAGGCTGGAAAAGGCTAAGGTCTTGGGGCCATAAAGCAAAAATGTCATTAACATAGCGAAGCCAGAGAGAGACGAGTATCAATAGAAGGACGAAGAACAGTTTCGAAGTATTCCATGTAGAAATTGGCAAGTACAGGGAAGAGAGGGGAACCCCCTATGACTTCTATGAAGTTCTGAGAGTGACAAAGGTGGACAAGAGAAAAAGTGACAAAGTAAGGCGTCAGAGTTTTAGCTAGCTAGGATGCAAGAGGATAGCATATCCACCAACACATCGGCAGCATAATCAATATATATATATATATATATATATATATATATATATATATATATATATATATATATATATATATATATATATATATATATATATATTATATATATATATATTTATATATATTATTAAATATGACCGAAAAAGTAAGATTAATAATTCTAACACGAATTTTCTCAATCTTTCGTACATTACGCTTCACTGTTGGAGGTAAATCAAAAATCACTTCTCCAAAATTCATTTTTATTTCTAGTCTGACGCGACACGGGCGCGTTTCGTAAAACTTATTACATTTTCAAAGACTTCACAAATACACAACTGATTAGAACTTACGTATCTCTGATTTTATATCTACATTTGAGTGAGGTGGGAGGGGTGATGTGGCATTAACACAAGACAGAACAAGAGGGGATATTAATAGGGTATTAAAAGTATCAACACAAGACAGAACAGAAACAATGGGTATTGAATAGAAGTGTTTGTAGAAAGCCTATTGGTCCATATTTCTTGATGCTTCTATATTGGAGCGGAGTCTTGAGGTGGGTAGAATATAGTTGTGCAATAATTGGCTGTTGATTGCTGGTGTTGACTTCTTGATGTGTAGTGCCTCGCAAACGTCAAGCCGCCTGCTATCGCTGTATCTATCGATGATTTCTGTGTTGTTTACTAGGATTTCTCTGGCGATGGTTTGGTTATGGGAAGAGATTATATGTTCCTTAATGGAGCCCTGTTGCTTATGCATCGTTAAACGCCTAGAAAGAGATGTTGATACAACTGTTGTCTTGCCTATATACTGGGTTTTTTGGAGCTTACAGTCCCCAAGTGGGCATTTGAAGGCATAGACGACGTTAGTCTCTTTTAAAGCGTTCTGTTTTGTGTCTGGAGAGTTTCTCATGAGTAGGCTGGCCGTTTTTCTGGTTTTATAGTAAATCGTCAGTTGTATCCTCGGATTTTTGTCTGTAGGGAAAACGTTTCTATAAACAATATCTTTCAGGACCCTTTCCTCCGTTTTATGAGCTGTGGAAAAGAAGTAAGAAGTTGAACTCTGTAGGGTAAGGCAGGTCCTAGTCAATAACGGCTTCTCCAATGGTTTCATCGAAGACATCATAAGAAGGAAAGTGAAAAGCCATGCAACCTCTGAAGAGACAACTAACACAACACCTATACCCCCTATTAGACTATTTTACAGGAACTTCTTTTCCACAGCTCATAAAACGGAGGAAAGGGTCCTGAAAGATATTGTTAATAGAAACGTTATCCCTACAGACAAAAATCAGAGGATACAACTGACGATTTACTATAAAACCAGAAAAACGGCCAGCCTACTCATGAGAAACTCTCCAGACACAAAACAGAACGCTTTAAAAGAGACTAACGTCGTCTATGCCTTCAAATGCCCACTTGGGGACTGTAAGCTCCAAAAAACCCAGTATATAGGCAAGACAACAACATCTCTTTCTAGGCGTTTAACGATGCATAAGCAACAGGGCTCCATTAAGGAACATATAATCTCTTCCCATAACCAAACCATCGCCAGAGAAATCCTAGTAAACAACACAGAAATCATCGATAGATACAGCGATAGCAGGCGGCTTGACGTTTGTGAGGCACTACACATCAAGAAGTCAACACCAGCAATCAACAGCCAATTATTGCACAACTATATTCTACCCACCTCAAGACTCCGCTCCAATATAGAAGCATCAAGAAATATGGACCAATAGGCTTTCTACAAACACTTCTATTCAATACCCATTGTTCTGTTCTGTCTTGTGTTGATACTTTTAATACCCTATTAATATCCCCTCTTGTTCTGTCTTGTGTTAATGCCACATCACCCCTCCCACCTCACTCAAATGTAGATATAAAATCAGAGATACGTAAGTTCTAATCAGTTGTGTATTTGTGAAGTCTTTGAAAATGTAATAAGTTTTACGAAACGCGCCCGTGTCGCGTCAGACTAGAAATAAAAATGAATTTTGGAGAAGTGATTTTTGATTTACCTCCAACAGTGAAGCGTAATGTACGAAAGATTGAGAAAATTCGTGTTAGAATTATTAATCTTACTTTTTCGGTCATATTTAATAATATATGTCTACAGGAAAGACTGCTACCAAAATATACTAATATATTTATATATATATATATATATATATATATATATATATATATATATATATATATACATATATAAATAATAATGTAAATAATAGCATTTGATGGCCTCTTATAAGCCTTGAGGTAAATTGTGTTCCTCAGGCACAAGAATCTTCATTCTCTTCTGGGACATGAAACTTCGCCTTACATTTCACCCGGAATGAGTTATTCTTCTTGAATTGTGTGCTTTCACCTTCGGCTTCACTCGACAACTGTTCTTTCTTGACGAAACTATGGACCAACACTTATTGTTCCGTGAAGATTTTCTCTTATCTGGGATCAGTAACCGCCACCAACGATGCCACAAAACTACTCAACGCTGCTACCAACCAGAAGAACGCACGGAACTAACATAGGATTGCGGGTTAGGTCAATAATGATGCTTGCTCAATTCTCCGGCTATTGTGGTACCTCACAACTGTTCAACTAAGTGCACAATCGGGCATTCTGACACTTCATCACTGGGCAAATCCACCACCAGGTTGAGAAAATCCAGAGTGTTTCCACTTTCGAAGACTCCGGTACCACATAAACCGGATAACATTGGCAGCATATGGGACGCTGGCATATATAAGAACATCGTTTAGAAACCAATATCAAGATGCCTTCAAGGCGATCTACACAACATTTGTTAAAGCATTATTGGAATATGCAGCACCAGCATGAAATCCAAAACTTGTGTGGCATAATGCCAAAAATTGAAAAAAGTACAAAAGTTTTCAACAAGGTTGGTGCCAGGGCAAAGCTACGAACATAGGCTAATTAAACTAAATCTGACAACTATAGAGGATAGAAGGAACAAAGGAGGATTTGATCAGAACTTACAAGATACTGAAGGGAATATAATAGGTGAATAACAGATAGCGCTTTCAGACTGAGAGAAAGCAGGATAAGGGGACACAGGTGGAAACTGGAAACGCAAATGAGCGGAAGGGATGTAAGAAAGTTCTCGTACCCTGTACGGGTAGTTAACAAGTGAAATGCTCCAACAAAGTTGTGAAAGCCGCCTCCATCCACAATTTTAAGGTTTTAGGCCAGATTCGACAAATAATTTGAAATTTAGAGTATTTAAGTTGAAACGCAACAGGTACAAGGGTAGTAGGTGGGGCATAAAAAGCTAGACCACACTTACCCCGTGTACACTGATAGGTAAGCCCTCACCAACAACTGAGGTATTTCGCATATCCAGTGGCGTTGTGTCCGTCATATTGCCCTATTGACAACCGATGACATCATCGTGTCACGTCACGATAAAATCTATTCAGACTCTCAGTGTTAGAAGACAGTGGATAACCTAAAATATATATTAAACTTTCCTAACTATATTTTACGTTTTCCACAACAAATACATGACATTCCTTAATTGTAAACGAGAGAGGAATAACTCATGGTGTATGAGGTGTTATAGTGAACTGGAAATTTATAACCCAAGATACAAGTAATCATTCTCTCAGTGGAATATCACAAATGTAGAGAGCGCAGCAGCAGCAGAGACAAGAATGTGCAAGTAAACGGCAGAAAGTGCAAACCCATTACCCATCAGAGTTCCCTCAGGTACAACCACAACGGAAGGCACATTGACAGGACCCTAAAAAGATGAAACTAACCAAGTTATAATTGACGACAAAAGGGCAGCAAACACTGAATAAATACTCTGTATCAGTACTGACACTAGAAAACTGGACAACGTCCCAGTTTTCGTCACACAAATGTCCCAACGTCACACAAATGTTTGAAGCAGGGAAAGAGAACGAATTAAGGGTTATTCCCATAACTTAAGAAATTATCAGGAAAAGTGTTGACAAACTAAAAGATTTAAAAGCCCAAGGTGTGGATGGAATTCAATCAAAATCGTAAAAGAACTTCCAGACAAACTAAGTCTACCATTGAAACTCCTTAACAGAAAATCTCTGAACCAAGGGATAGTTTCCCTAGTTCGG